CCACCCTGCCTCCATCCCGGCCGGGGACCGTCAATCCTACTCGCGATCCTTCCTTCACCACGGCCGGGCACCCGCGCCGTCTGCAAGGCAGGGATTAAAAAGCATTATCATCCCGACATGTTTCCGTAGTCGGGGAAAAGCGAGATAACACAGAACTTCGGAAAACTGGGTGCTGCCTGCCGAGTACATAGGGATTTGGACAGCATGAGGCAGTGTAAGATCTCTGAAATGCCAACTGGAATGCTTCAGGTGAAGCAGTTGTCTGATTCCGTTGTGGTTCATTGCGGAAGAGGAGGTTCGGTACCCCACAGTCCTCCTGCTACACCACGGACACCGTCTCTGCTAGGCAGCACCACTACTGCCAGCATCCCTATTAGTAGTATCACTAATAACATTACTACCCAGTGGAGAGATTCCACTTCTTCCTGTGGAATGGAACGGCCTTTGGGGAGAGAGGCAGATTTATTGTAATTACTATCAAATCATCAAATGAGCTTATTAGAGTTCTTATTGTTGATTGGCACAGGGTTGAACAGTTTTAATAGGCACAATTGTAAGATCATCTTTAAAGGTTCCTTTCAATCCAAACCATCCAATGATGTTACCATTTCTGGGTTTTTTTTAAACATAGTTTTAACACCTGACTAGCACATCCCACTGAATTTCAGCTACACAGAAAATGCTTCTTGTTTTTGATCTTGAAGGATTGTTTTTACCCTGGGTTGTTTCTCGGTGTGGAGCGAGTGATGGGCATCCACTGCTTGGGTGAGTCATGGCACAAGCAGCCCAGGAAAACACAGCTGGCATGCTCCAGTGGCTGCATTGGGTGGCCAGGAGGACACTGAGTTGTGAATGCTGGGCTGAGCATTTCTCTTGAGGATGGAAGCCCCCACACTGTAGTTTTGGCAACATTTGTCAGCAGCTGCCATCTCTGCTCTGCTTTAGAAATCAGCCTGGAAGCCCAAATCCAGCCAGGGGTCCAGGTTTGCCCTGACTGCTGTCAATATCAATGAGTGAAAGAGCCCAGGAATTGTCCCAGGTAAGGTAGAGGAGGAGGAGGATGGTTACATCCCTCAGATCTGATCCTCCATTTCCTCAGCATCACAGCCACTCCACACAGGTGGTAGGGAGTGGGGAGAAGCAGTGCCAAATGAGAGCTCCCAGAACATAGGCAGGGGCAAGGCAGGGAAGGGAGCTGCCACACTGTTTCCAGTGTTCCTGTTCCCACCACCTTGTGCTGCCTGCAGAAGGGAGGGCCAGAGGAGGGAAAGGGGGGTTTTTTCTTGTTTCACCATAGGAAGGATTTTCAAACCCTATAAATTCACTTTTGACAAGTGAACAGCTAAAGCAGATTAACCTTTTTGCTAATCCTCTATAATGGCTTTGGAATCTCCTTAACCAATAAGAAAATGATAAGAGCCTGTTTCTTTTCTTTTTATCTATATCTATATTGTCCTCTCTTGTCTGCATGTTTTTTCTTTCTTGTTTTGTTTTCCTTTCCTTTTCTAATATGAAATAGCCCAGCGATCCTATCTCCCAGAGGCTCAGTAAACAGAACATCAGAAATCCCTTTCCTTTATTCCTCTCTGGTAACAGGGTGCAGAGAAGTGTCTGCCGATTGGGATTTGATTACCAGCAGCTATCAAAAGTCTCTTTGTACAATCTGGGTCCTAAATCCCATAATTCTTTGATAAAAGAAGTATTACCAGTCCATTTTCTGTAGTGAAAGGTACGGGAGGAATGAAAGAAAGCAATCAGCAGAGATCCTAATAGGCTAAGTGCATGTGTGGTGGGAAGGCAGGGCTGGGACAGGATGCCCAGGGAAAGGGCATCCTTTGTGAAGGATGGGGAAGGAGAATTAATCCGCTTCAGGCATATGAACAGAACTGGTCAGATCCTGCACCTGCCCATGGCACTTCCCAGCTCACTGGCCCTGTGGTCCCTCTGGACCAGCACAGTGTGGGAAGCAGAACCTGGACCCACATCCACCTCTTGTGTCAGTGTTTGGGTACATACATAAGAGCTGGGAGCAGTTTTCAGTGATCTCTGGAATAAGGGCATCCCCAGTGCCTCTCTGGAGTCCTGACACCTTGGCAGGGCAGCAGTGAACATGTCCAGACTGAGCAGCTACAAAGGTTCTTAATCTAAAAAGGAAAAGATTCACAGAGCTCAGTTGTAATCCATGTTACACCATCTCATTCAACAACTGAAGGAGAGGCAAATAAAGGGATGGAAGGAAAAACAGCAGTTTGGTTTTAAGGGAGTCAGAAACAGAACGGCTATGGGGTGTCTCTTCCCAGCACTGAGGGACCCACAGGTGAGGAGGGGCAGGCAGTGAGCAGGGATGAGAGAAGAAACAAACTGAGAGAGACTCTCCTGGGGACTGGCCGTAAGTTTGGCAGGATGCTGGAGGCATTGCTGGGCTGTCCAGTGTGAGCATCTTTGGTGTGCTATGGTTTCACAGCACCCACCCGTGTGTCTCCTCAGGTGTACCCTGAGCGGGACTGGTATCTTCACTCCCCTGCAAGGAAACACCAGGTGTGAGAGTCTTCCCCACCTGAGCTCCTGAGGCATTGCTACTCACCTTGGCTTAAACTGCACTGAAGGCAAGAGAACTCGGGTTTAAACTTTGCTAAGCAACCTGATCTCAACCACACTTTCTCTGGTTTATTCCCAGCTACTCATTTCAGTTAAAAACACAGGATCCAAGATGATTCCTCCCCTGCTGTGGATTGCAGGTGCCAGGCCTTGCTGTTTGCCCTTGGGAGGGGCAGACCCAGGCTTCCCTTACTGTCCCAAATCTTGGCCATTACCTCTCCCCAGTTTCTCTGGCTGGGCAGGACGTGGGAGTTGAAGAGGCTTTGGGAAAACCTAGCTGTGGCACTGAGTCCACACTCCTGCCTGGATGGCTGCAGGACCTCACTAAGAGCACACAGCGGCAGCAGAAGCAGCAATCCTCCCCCACACAGAGCACGGCTCAGCTGCATGGGAGGTGGGTACATGCCACTAAGCTCTGGTGCAGAGCTGCTGCAAGCAGGCAGTAATCTAATTTATTAAGGGCTTTGAATGCTTACAAAGAGTATGTTGGACACATGCAAAGCATCTGCATTATTACAGTGATTAGGGCAGCAGAGATGGGGGAAAGGGGAAGGAGGGAAAATACAATTTCTCTGCTTTCAGCAGAAAATAAATCAACTTTCACAGAGAATTCTGGCAAAACCAAAGGCTGTGCTGTCATTAAAAATGATTTTTTATTAAGCTGAACTCTCTCTTCTCTAATATTGTATGATATGACAGCTCTCTTTTGATGGGAAAGCTTTCATTTGGCCAGAGAAAGGGATAATTTGCTTCTTTTAAGGAGTTAATCCTCTGGTCCATTTCCGGGCTGGGAACAGCTATCCTCCCCCTTCCTTGGATAGGAGGCTGCAGCACAATGGAGATCATAACCACCTCAAATCTACACCCGAGATGGAGAAATCAGATTTCCTTCTCCAGTCATTTTTATGGGATTAGCTAAATCTTAGATCCACACTAACCCTTCACAAAGCTGCCAAGATTAGTTAGAATTTATTTTATTTGCAGCGGGGTTTACGGTTTTCTTTCCAAAGGGATTATATCTCTCTCTCTATATATATATATTTAGAGTGGCTTCAGTCATAACACAGCTAGGTCAGAGGGAGGAAAAGAGTGTGTATGTGTATAAAATAAAAACTCATCTGAAAGAATGACATTCACTTGAAACATCAAGACAAAGCAGTGGTTCTGGATAGCTTTGCCAGTCCATTTTAAAAGCCACATAAGCTGTCCTTTCCCTAGCAAAACCCCACTGGGGAGCCAGTGCACAGAGAGCAAAGCCCCTCAGCTGGGCTGCCTGCTTCCCCAGCTGCTGCTGCTGCTGGCACAGGATGTCTTCAGAGCCTGTGCCAGGTGCTGACACTGGCAGGAGAGGCCTGAAGAAGCCACATCCGTTCAGCATCGAGGACATCCTCTCCAGCCCCGTGGAGAAGAGCCCCCAGGTCTTGGTGCCACTGTGCCTGCAGAGCATCTTGGACTGCACACCCAGGCGGCTGTGTGAGCTGGAGACCATCCCAGCCAGCTCCCTGCAGGAGGAGGAGGAGGAAGAGGAGGAAGAGCTGGAAGGGGCAGGCTGCAACTGCTGCTGCTGCTCTCACACGAGTGCCCGTTCCCTGCAGGAGCTGCCGGGTTGGCTGGGTGAGTGTTGGGCTGGGTGAGTGTTTGGGTTTGATTCAGCTGTGGGGCTTGCAGAGGGGCTGGTGCCAGTGCTGTGGGCAGGGGAACACTCGGGTGGTAAGTGACAATATGGGGCCCCAGGCCCAGCGATCTGAGCTGTTCTCAGCAGGGCTCCTAGGAGTGGGCACTTTCACCTGCAATGCTACCAGGGTTTGAAAAGCAGAGGGTGCTAACTATTGCTGGCTATTACTGGTTTAGTGTGAAACTCTTGAGAGAATGATGCTTCTAGAGGTGCAAGCTCTCTGTGGGGTGTGGGGCCCCATGGTCACGCTGCCCATGTGCTGTGTCTGTGCTTCCTGACAACATCAGCCCTGGGGAACCTCACTTATCCTTTAAGGAAAAGATTTTGGCTACGTCTAGCAAAATCTCTGTGGGAAAAAGTAGCAAACCCTTAAAAATGCAGTTCAAGACATCGTGAAAATTCAGAATTCCCTTGTGTCAGGGCTGAAATACAGAACTTTTCCGGGCTGTGAGTTTGCAGTTATTTTCTGGGGCTGGCCATAGTGCAACCGGTAAGTGAACAAAGAAAACCCAGCCAGTGTTCACCACCTGCATCCTTCTCCCAGAGTCATGCCCTAAACTTTTCTCCCATGTGGATAGTGACAACTCAGCTTGTGGTCACTCCAGGTGACTGGCTGCTTCCTTCCAAACAGTAGCAGGGATGCAACTCATGCCTGAGCTGCCTTGGGCATGAGAGTGTTTCAGCCCCACCCCTCTAACCTGCTGCTGTCCCTGTCCCCTCGCAGAAGCCCGGTTCCCCTGGCCCATGCGGCTCTTCCACCCAGCGGTCAGGGTCTGTAAGAGCTCCCAGGAGAAGTCGAGCGAGCTGCAGAGCTTCCAGCAGATCCAGCGCCGCACACGCCGGCACCGCACCATATTCACCGAGGAGCAGCTGCAGGCTCTGGAGACGCTTTTCCACCAGAACCAGTACCCAGACGTGGTCACCCGCGAGCACCTGGCAAACCGCATTCACCTGAAGGAGGAGAGGGTAGAGGTGAGATTCTGCCACTTGGTGAGGGGCTGCTGGCTGCAGTGCCCCAGGAACACAGACTGGGGCATTGTGCTGTCCTTTTTTGGGGAGCTGCAGACCCGCGGCCTCATTTTAAAATCATCCTTGTGCATTTGACAAAAGAGAGTTTAAGTTTGGTGAGCGGTGGAAAAATATGAACCATTTCAGCTGGGCTAATTTGTGCTGGCATCCAGTCCCACAGACTCACAGGGTCTCTCTCTCCCAGAATCACCTGTCACACACAGACATGCCCAGCTCTGCTGCTCATGCCCTGCACCCAAGTGTGTCCGCCTTACCTAAGTGACTTCTGAATTTGTCATTGGGGGTCCCAGCTCCCTTGTGCCCCTCACATGTATCTGAGCAAGATTGCAGCAGAGGGACTGATTCTATTTCTTATCAAGCCTTTATGTTACAGTATTTCAGAGCCCACACAGTACAACCCAGGAGGGTCACTGCCTGTCCCTTCCCAGTGACGCAGGACATGCAAAAGCCTTTTTCTTGTTTTGCACTTCCTAGGTTTGGTTTAAAAATCGTCGGGCCAAGTGGCGGCATCAGAAGAGGGCGACTGCCTCAGCCCTGATCCTCCAGCCCAAGCAGCCCCCCAAGGAGAGCTGTTAGTGCTCGCAGGCTGCAGAGAGCACCACGAGCCCCCGGTGCCCATAGCGGACGGGCTCGGGGGGAACCTGAGGGGGCTGATGCAGCAAAAGGTGATTCACACAGGACGAGGACAGTAAAAGCAGACATGGCACTTTCACATGCCTCTTCCAAACCTAGTGGCAAATGACTCAGTGGGATGCGCAGGGGACAGAGCTGTGCCGGTATTAAATGTGCGTGCTTTAAGAGAAGGGGAGACTCCTCGTCTTTGTTCTGTGCACGTAGTATTTGTGTTTGTTTCATTGATGTAGATTTGCAAAATATCCCGCAAATGAATGTTTCCTGTTTGCAGCACCTCAGTGGCATCTAGAGTTGCTTTTGGGGTTGAACTTGCTGGAAAAGCGATTTGTTTCATAACAAAGAAACACGGGTTTCTCCCCGTAGTCCTGGGGAGAGGTGATGAGCCTGCTGTGGTGAGAGAGTTGGCACAGGCAGCGTTCGCCTTCCCCCTGGTGCCAGCCAGCCAGTCCCTGTCACAGCGAGCCGCGTCCGTGTTCCCGGGGGGGCCCAAGGAGAGCTGGAAAGCAGCGACACCAATAAAACTGCCCTGTCACCCCCGCCCGAGCAGCCAGCCGGGGGTCCCGCTCCCCGGCAAGCCCGGCGTGTTTCTGAGGAGGTCTGAAGAGACCGTGGGGGCGTTGGGGGGATCCGCCCGGCTCCCATCCTGTGTCCTAACCCATGTGTGTCCCGGTTCCCGTCCCGGTTCCCATCCCGACCCTAGGGCCGAGGTGCCGCCGCCGTCACAGCGGGGGACCGGCGGGGTCCTCCGGGCCGGCAGGCGGCGCGCGCGGGCCCGCGCGCCTCGCGGGGAGGGGGCGGGCATTGCGATCCCCGCGGCGCGGTGATGTGACGTCACGCCACGGCGCGGTGATGTGACGTCACGGACCGTCGCAGTCGCGGCGGCGAAGGAGGAGGAGCAGGAGCGGAGCGGTTCCGACGCGATGGAGGCGATACCGGTGCCCCCGGCCTCTCCCGCTGCGCTGGTGCCGGCTACCGCCGCGGGCCCCGTCGCCGTGACGGGGAAGGAGGTGGTGTCGCCGGCCCCGAGGCACCCGAAGAAGATCCTGGATGAGGAGGCCTATATCGAGGTAGGGCGGCGGGCCCGGGCCTAAGCCTGGGCGACTCCGCTTCGCCGGTGCTTGGGCCGAGCGCTTCCAGCTCGGCAGGGCTCAGCTGGGGTCCGCCCTGCAGGGTCGGCCCGTGGCCGCTGCCCGCTGCAGTTGGGGTCCAGGCAGCGCTGGGGCTGCTCCTCTGGCTCCCGTCCCTCCTGTGGTGACAGCTGTCAGCGCTCTGCCACCGGCCCTGGGCTGCCCGGCCTGCCCCAGGCTTTGCGCCGCTGGCCCCGAGCTGAGCCGGCACTCCAAGATGTCCCAGCAGGGCATTGCAGTTGTCTCTCTCTTTGTAGAGCTTAGAGAAAATCATCCAGCGAGACTTTTTTCCCGATGTGGAGAAGTTGCGAGCACAGAAGGACTATCTGGAGGCCGAGGAAAATGGCGACTTGGAGAAAATGAGACAAATTGCCATCAAGTTTGGCTCTTCCTTGAATAAATCGTCGAGGGACACACCTGCACCCTGTAAGAACTGCCTCTGTGGGGCATGAGGGGTTTCTATCTGATATTGCTGCTCTGCTTTATCTAACTTTGTGTAGGCAAGGCTTATCTTAAAGATTCAAGGCTAAAGTTGCATGAGAGCTAAGTTTACCAGTTTGGGCAGTAACCAGTGTCTGGTAGCTCATGCTGAATTTCTCTTTGATGGTGTCTAATAACGTCTTGAGGGAAGGGTTTTGGAAGAAGCAGCCTTTTAATAACCATTCTTTATAAGCATGTTTTGCTGAGTTCCTGCTCCCTAGGGAATGTTATGTGCTGTCTACTATGAGGAATTCTAAGCTATGTTTTGAATCCTTGTTTTAGTTTGCAGTTTCAGAGGTTCTTGTTGCATCTACAGACATTTGAGATTTTCATGTATTAGAGACAGAACGTGTGGGAAGCTCGTGGTTATCAGAGGTTCCCACAGCAGGTATCCTGTGTTCTGTTTTATGTTTTCTTTCACTTCCAGTTCAGGTGCTTCTTAAAGCCCAGCCCTTGGCTGAGCTCTTGCAATGGGGTTTGGGTAAGTGGCTTTCTTGTGACAGTGTCGCCAGGTGGTGTCCCTTCTTCCCCTACTGAAGGTGCTGGCCATGGCTCAGTTTGATCTGCTGCTGCTTTTGTTGGCAAAAGCAGGGTGTAGGGTGACAAATATACTGAGGTGTGGCTCTCCTGGGAATTTCTCCCAGCAGGAGAAAAATGTCTTAGATGAGGCCAAAATCTTGTTTGGAGGTTGAGACAGAATTGAATAGAACATTTTGGAGTTTTTTTTCAAAAGTTTTAAATTTAATTGTTGTTCTCTTGATATGCCTTCCGTGACTTGTTTGGTACATGATCCTTACAGCAAATCCTGTTGTGTGCTCCAGTAACCAAGTGAACTTTTTTTTTGTGGCAGATGTTACCCCAGCCACGTTTGAAACCCCAGAAGTGCATCCAGGTGGCCTTCCAGTGGGAAATAAATCTAAAGCTGGCATCAAGACTGCAGAGGAAGGTAGGAGAATTATGTTTCTCTTGCTGAATTCTTCCAGAAATAAATCCCCTGCCAGCAGCTGGCCACTTGCACATTTCACCTTTAAAATAAATTGCTATAAGTGCCATAAAAAGGTTGGTTATATGTGTTCCAAACCTGAACCACTCTGTGTGGATCTATTTCTTTGACCAAGCTTGATGTTAGTTACTGGTGTGTCCATGGAAGGCTTGCTGCCAGGAGGGTTGAGAGGTAGATACAGTGCACTCACAGAAAGGGAGGCATTAACCTTCCTCAGGCTTCTTCCCTTCTCTTGTTAGGAGAAGCAGAAAAAGATGATAAAGATGCTCTCCCCAGCCTGGACACCTTCTTGGCAAAGCACACGAGTGAGGATAATGCTTCCTTTGAGCAGATCATGGAAGTGGCCAAAGAGAAGGAGAAAGTCAAGCACGCCTGGCTGTACAGCGCAGAGGAGGAGTACACCCAGGTAGGGAATTGCCTCAGCTCTGTCTCTGCTCTTCCAGAGGAGCACTGAAGGGAAATACCATTTCAGGGATTCAGTTAAGGCTAAGGCTCAGTTTCCTGTGTCCTGTGACTGCTCTTTGCTTCCTTGTACAGTCCTGTTTTTTCCCTTTCTGTCACAAAAGGAGAGTGCTGACTTAATTGCTGAGGCTTTGTCTCTTCTGAAAGCTTTGAGACGGCAAAGCACTGCACAAGAGTGCAGGTATTGCTGTTCTTGGCAGCCTCTTCCATAAGCAGCAACACCAGGGAGAGCAGCTGAGCACAACTCCGGTTTGTCCATCAGCCCTTCATTATTTGCTGTTTGGTTGTCTGTCTTATTTCAGTTTTCAGTTTCTGTTATCAGTAATAATCCACTCAGCTGCTGAAGCACAGAGCTGCATGAGCATGGCTGCTGTGCTGCCTTCCTCAGCTATCTGCAGGGCAGGTCCTGGAGCTGTTCTGGCCCTGCCTTGTCAATTTTAACCATCAGCAGTGAGCAGCTGGCACAGATGTGTCATTGATGGATGTGGGACGCAATGCCTTTTAATGAAGTTCAGCACTGACATGTGGGTGTTTGCTGCTGTTGTTTTGAGGGAATGTTATTGTATCCCAACAATTCCTCAGAGTCTGTTGCATACCTTATGCAAAGCGTTCTAGGCAGGTGACTGAGCTCTCCAAGCTGTGTGCCTGAATAAAAGATTGCAGGAGGCTGCTTCAGACTTTTTTTCTCACCTTCTGAAATTTTTTTCCATTGCTCTTTCAGCGACAACATGAAAACCTGGCCCTTCCTTCAGCCGAACAGCAAGCTCTGGAGAACGTGAAAGCTGGACTGGATACCTGGGAATACACAGCTCGAAATACCCTCATGTATTATCCAACAGGTGAGGCATTGGTTCTAGGTGGGTTGGCTCCAAACAGGGCTTAGAGCATTTCTATATGTGACTGAGTTTCTCTTACAGTGCTTTTCCTTCTGTAAAGCTGTTTTTAAAAAGTGGGTTTTTTCCTTTTTTTCCTTGGCTTCTGATTCCAGTGTTGGATCATGTTCTATTTGCCATTGAAAAGCTCATATGTATTATGGAAGTATTTGTTTTCAGCAGCCAAAGGTCTTTCCTGGTTTGTCTTTTCTATGATCACTTGCTGTCATCTGCATTCGTTGTTTTCTTCTGCTCAAAGAATCTTCCTTGGACTTGTTAGTCTGTTTGTTGCCATAGAAAAATACATATTTTTGTAAATGTAGTTTTCTTTTTTGGCTATAAATATAGAATTGAGAATTTCCGTGAACCGATGAAATAGAGAAAAGAGCCCTTTTTTACAAGTTATTTTTCTTTTCAAGGTGTACCTGATGAGAGTGATGTGTTTAAGAAGCCCAGGGAAGTTGTGCATCGAAACACACGTTTTGTGAAGGACCCTTTTAGCCAAGCTGTGAGCAAATCACAGCTCCAACAAGCTGCAGCCCTCAATGCTCAGGTTGGGTCATTTTACCTCTTACTCAGACCTAGTTAGGCTTTGCCCTCTGGTGTGGTTCACCCCCCAGGAGAGCTGTGTATGTGTGCTGGATACAGCTGACTCTCACCTTTCTCCACATTAATGGCATTGTCTTTTTTATTTCAGTACAAACAGGGCAAAGTGGGACCCGATGGGAAAGAGCTGATACCCCAAGAGTCTCCAAAAGTGAATGGGTATGGATTTGTGGCTACCCCCTCTCCTGCCCCAGGTAAGAGGGTTTTCTTATTTCTTCTACTTTAAGAGGACTATTACTGCGCTTACTTTGATGCTCTGTTCAACACTAGGGTGTCATTACAGGGTTAGATGAGGGGGTAAAACCTCATGCCGTGTATGCCAGCTGGATGCAGGGCTTAAATCCTAGTCCAGTACACTGGTAGAAGTCACACTGCACCAAGAGGCTCTGAGCA